CTTTAAACGTAAACGGACTAAATGCTCCAAACAAAAGACATCGAGTGGCTGAATGGATAAAAAAACATGACCCATACATCTGCTGTCTACAAGAAACCCACCTCATTAGAAGGGACTCACACAGACTGAAAGTGAAAGGATGGAAAAATATCTTTCAGGCAAATGGAAAGGAAAAGAAAGCTGGGGTAGCAATACTTATATCGGACAAAATAGACCTCAAAGTGAAGGCCATAACAAGAGATAAGGAAGGCCACTTCATAATACTAAAGGGATCAATACAACAAGAAGATATAACCCTGGTAAACATATATGCACCCAATGCAGGAGCACCCAAATTCATAAAAAAACTCCTGGAGGATATCAAAGGAGAGATCGACAACAATACAATCATTGTAGGGGACTTTAATACACCACTGACAGCACTGGATAAGTCTTCTAGACAAATAATCAGCAAAGATACAGCAATCCTAAATGACTCACTAGATCAGATGGACTTAATAGACATCTTCAGAACACTTCACCCGAAAGCCAGGGAATATACATTCTACTCAAATGCTCATAGGACATATTCAAAAATAGACCATATATTGGGTCACAAGCAAAGTATCCCCAAATTCAAGAAGATTGAAATCATAAAAAGCGTCTTCGCAGACCACGATGGCATAATATTAGAAATAAACTACAATAAAAACAACCCAAAATACTCAAACACCTGGAAGCTGAATAGCATGCTATTAAATATTGATTGGGTTACCAATGAAATCAAAGAAGAAATTCGAAACATCCTGGAAACTAATGACAATGAAAACACAACAATCCAAAACCTATGGGACACAATGAAAGCAGTCCTGAGAGGGAAGTTTATAGCTCTACAGGCCTATCTCAAAAAACAAGAAAAAATGGTAGTAAATCATCTAACTCTACAACTCAAAGAGTTAGAAAGAGAGCAACAAGAAAACCCCAGAGTGAGCAGAAGGAAGGAGATAATAAAGATTAGAGCAGAAATAAATGACATAGAGACCAAAAAAACAATACAGAAAATCAATGAAACCAAGAGCTGGTTCTTTGAAAGGATAAACAAGATTGACAAACCTCTAGCCAGACTCACCAAGAAGCAAAGAGAGAGGACCCAAATAAACAAAATCAGAAACGATAGAGGCGAAATAACAACAGACCCCACAGAAATACAAATGATTGTTAAAAAATACTATGGACAGCTCTACTCCAACAAACTAGACAACCTGGAGGAAATGGACAAATTCCTAGAAAAATACAACATTCCAAAACTCAATCAGGAAGAATCTAAAAATCTCAACAGGCCAATAACTATGGAAGAAATTGAAGCAGTCATCAAAAAGCTTCCAGCAAACAAAAGCCCAGGACCAGACGGCTTCACAGGGGAGTTTTACCAAACATTCAAGGAAGAACTGAAACCTATCCTCCTCAGACTACTACAAAAAATTCAAGAGGAAGGAACACTTCCAAGCTCATTCTATGAAGCCAGCATCACCCTAATACCAAAACCAGGTAAAGACAACACAATGAAAGAGAATTACAGGCCAATATCCCTCATGAACATAGATGCCAAAATCCTCAACAAAATCTTAGCAAATCGGATCCAGCAGTACATCAGAAAGATCATACACCATGACCAAGTAGGATTTATCCCAGGGATGCAAGGATGGTACAATATCCGCAAATCAATAAACGTGATACATCACATAAACAAATTGAAAGAAAAAAACCACATGGTCATATCAATTGATGCAGAAAAAGCATTTGACAAAATTCAACACCCATTTTTGATAAAAGCTCTCAGCAAGGTGGGAGTAGAAGGATCATACCTCAACATAATAAAAGCCATATATGACAGGCCCACAGCCAACATCATACTCAATGGACAAAAACTAACACCATTCCCCCTAAGAACAGGAACAAGACAGGGATGCCCCCTCTCACCACTCCTCTTCAACATAGTACTGGAAGTGTTAGCCATTGCAATTCGGCAAGAAGAAGAAATAAAAGGCATCCAAATTGGAAAAGAGGAAGTAAAACTGTCCTTATTTGCAGACGACATGATATTATACATACAAAACCCTAGAGACTCCATCAAAAAGCTACTGGACTTAATACATGAATTTGGCAATGTAGCAGGATACAAAATTAACCCCAAGAAATCCGAGGCATTTCTATACACCAATAGTGAACTTTCAGAAAGAGAGATTATAAAAACAATCCCGTTTACCATCGCACCAAAAAAATTAAGCTACCTAGGAATAAACTTAACTAAAGAGGTAAAAGACCTCTACTCAGAAAACTACAGGACGTTGAAAAATGATATAGAGGAAGACATAAACAGATGGAAGAACATACCGTGTTCATGGATTGGTAGAATCAACATCATTAAAATGTCCATACTACCCAAAGCAATCTATAAATTCAATGCACTTCCCATTAAAATACCAATGGCATACTTCAGAGATCTAGAACGAACTCTCCAAAAATTCATCTGGAATAAAAAAAGACCCCGAATAGCTGCAGCAATCCTGAAAAAGACCAAAGTAGGTGGGATCTCAATACCAGATATCAAGATGTATTACAAAGCCACTGTTCTCAAAACTGCCTGGTACTGGCACAAGAATAGGCATATAGATCAATGGAATAGAATAGAGAGCCCAGAAATCGGCCCGAACCAATATGCTCAATTAATATTTGACAAAGGAGGCAAGAACATACAATGGAGCCAAGATAGTCTCTTCAATAAATGGTGTTGGGAAAATTGGACAGATATATGCAAGAAAATGAAACTAGACCACCAACTTACACCATACACAAAAATAAACTCAAAATGGATAAAGGACTTAAATGTACGACAGGAAACCATAAAAATTCTAGAAGAATCCAAAGGCAACAAAATCTCAGACATATGCCGAAGCAATTTCTTCACTGATACAGCTCCTAGGGCACTTGAAACGAAAGAGAAAATGAACAAATGGGACTACATCAAAATAAAAAGCTTCTGCACAGCAAAAGAAACCATCAACAAAACAACGAGAAAACCCACTGTGTGGGAAAACATATTTGCCAATGTCATATCTGATAAGGGCCTAATCTCCAAAATTTATAGGGAACTCATACAACTTAACAAAAGGAAGATAAACAATCCAATCAAAAAATGGGCAAAGGACCTAAATAGACACCTTTCAAAAGAGGACATTCAGAAAGCCAAGAGACATATGAAAACATGCTCAAAGTCACTAATCATCCGAGAGATGCAAATCAAAACAACAATGAGGTACCATCTCACACCTGTCAGAATGGCTATCATCAACAAATCAACAAACGACAAGTGCTGGAGAGGATGTGGAGAAAAAGGAACACTTGTGCACTGCTGGTGGGAATGCAGACTGGTGCAGCCACTATGGAAGACAGTATGGAGTTTCCTTAAAAAACTGAAAATGGAACTCCCATTTGACCCTGTGATCCCACTTCTAGGAATATATCCCAAGAAACCAGAAACACCAATCAGAAAGTATATATGCACCCCTATGTTCATAGCAGCACAATTCACCATAGCTAAGATCTGGAAACAGCCTAAGTGCCCATCAGTAGATGAATGGATTAGAAAACTGTGGTACATCTACACGATGGAATACTATGCTGCTCTAAAAAGGAAGGTACTCTTACCATTTGCAACGTCATGGATGGAACTGGAGAGCATTATGCTAAGTGAAATAAGCCAGTCAATGAAGGAAAAATACCACATGATCTCACTCATTCATGGATAATAGAGACCATTATAAACTTTTGAACAATAATAGATACAGAGGCAGAGCTGCCTCAAACAGATTGTCAAACTGCAGCGGGAAGGCCGGGGAGGGTTGCGGGGCAGGAGGTAGGGGGGTAAGAGATCAACTAAAGGACTTGTATGCATGCATATAAGCATAACCAGTGGACATAAGACATTGGGGGATAGGGGAGGCTAGGGGACTGTCTAGGGCGGGGGGATAAAATGGACACATATGTAATACCCTTTGTAATACTTTAAGCAATAAAAATTTAAAAAAAAAAAAAAAAAAAAAAAAAAAAGAATTCAAATTTGACTAGATAGCATTGAAGTCTGTATATTTAAGGACCACTTAGTCTTCATTTTGTATCTTCATTTTGTAGCTCAGTTTTGCTGGTTATGGCTTTATAAATACTCCGATAATTATATACAGCAGCAAATCAAACACCTTGTATTAAAGACTTATGGGACAAATGTTTCTATATAAAAATTCAAAAACACAGATGTATGCATACTACTGAAATAAATACAATGTGATTTATTTATATATGAGAACAAATTAACAATGAACATTTTCAGAAGTTGAAAAAGGACACCAACAGTACTAAATACATAGCCTTTTAATTTTCTTCAAATTTGGAGTTTTAATTATATAAAGATGAGTAGTCAATTATGTAACCTAAAAATATTTACTTATTAAACTATATTAACACTTTCAATAAACTATACAAAAAGATAATGAGACAAACATGTGCATTTATAGAATTGCATGTCAGTCATGCCAGATCCCTGTGAGGGAATTCCCAACACGACCTCATTCGTCTGTGAGGACACAGATTAATTCTTGTTTAGACATACACATTCATTTACTTGTCCAGCCTGGTCAGCCCTCCATTGCTAGATGGTTTCCTTCTGCTATGAATGTGCATGTCCATTTGTCTGCTTCTTAGAGCAGACATTTACCTATAAAAGAAAGCATTACAATAATTAGTTGCTAGTTATTCATTCAGATCTGTCTGAAAAATCCAACAATCATTACATGTTATAAACCTGTTTCAGAAGATATTTTGATAATAAAAGCAAAGGATTTTTCAAGGATTAGGATAGAAATATTTTTCCAAATAATGTGTTAGGCAGCTTCTATTTTCTTAAAGAACTTCCTAAGGAGGCATTTACAAAATAAAATCCCTGTAGAATAATTTCAAATTTTAAGTTACCTTCCTCATCCACCAGCCATTGGAGGAGGACTGGGGCCACGCAGATGATTAATTCGACCCATTCTTCTGGGAGGGTTTCCTGGGGGCCTAATAAAAGAAAAAGTTAATTTCTACCGTTTAGTAGACATCTTAAATGGGTTTCTTTTAAACACTCAAATAAACCTTTTTATTTAAAATACCATTTAGGTCAGAAATTCAAACTTTGACAGGGACCAGACATATAAAGCACATGAGGAAAGTGAGTCAGGCAAGGACTATGATGGACTGAGCAGCACTTCCTGTAAATGCCCAAATAAAACCCAGCTCCAGTTGATTTTTGCCACATGGAAACACAAACCTAACCCCTGCTGCTTGATCTTCTGAGTTTTTCATTAGCAGCTAGAAATCTAGATTCTAAAGTGAAATCTCTAGATTTCAATGTTGGCTCTCAGTTTTTATCCTCTAATTTAGGTATTTCCCATTGGATATATGATGTACATTTTAGCTTTGCCAGGTTGACTATATTATCAAATCAGAGGCAACTTAACTTATTTATAGTAATGCATTAATTTTGTGAAATAGAATTTAAACCTTTAATTTCCATTAAGTCTGTCTATCTATCTATCTATCTATCTATCTATCTATCTATCTATCTATCTATCAAATCAACCTAATCTAATCTGATTAAAATATACAGAAGGGTAAAAACACCTATTATCAATTTAGAAAGCTATATCCTCTTCTGAGGCAGCATGGAAACCTGGAGAGTATTATGCTAAGGGAAATAAGCCAGTTAGAGAAAGACATGTATCACATGATCTCACTTATATGTAGAATCTAATAAACAAAATAAACTGACAAACAAAAATGATCCAGAAACATGGAAGCATGGAACAGACTGATGAATCTCAGAGGGAAAGGGGAGAAGGGTGGCAGGAAGAGATTAACCGAAGAACTTATATGGGTACATGCATAATCCATGGACAGACAATAGTGCAGTGAAGGCAAGGGAGGGGGGGTGAAGAGGATCAATGAGGGAAGGAAAGTGGGACATCTGTAAAACTTTCAACAATAAAGATAAATTTTTTAAAAAATCAATGACTAAAAAAATAAATAAAATAAAATGAAGTGGGGGTTAAACCACCATGATCTTGAAAGTTTATTCATTTTCCCCCATTTTTCCCTTAGAGTTAAAGGTCTAAGAGATACATATATAGGTATAAAAATAAATACAAATAAAAAGCTGTACCCTCTTCCATCATCATATCTGGAATCAGATGAGTTTCCGTAGCCTCTTCCCTTTTTCACATCTTGCTGAAGCAGAGTTTTGAAACTGAAACAAGGGGCAGAAAACAACAGAAGAGCCACTTTCAGCATTATAAAATGTAGTTCATGATTTCGACTATCATCTCTGGGTAGACAGTTAGCTCCAAACCCACATTCTGAAAAGCCATCGTGACACCACCATCTAACACGAGCACTTGTCTCAACAGTGTGCGCTGTGTTCCGGGCCGAAGCCGCCCTGCCTGTCTTCTTACTTGCTGATAACTCTCCCGGACAGTCATCCCAACCTCTTCCTCTACACCAGCTGCCACGGCTCAGTCTGGTTTTACAGTACTGCACATTCATTGCTCGTGCATTTCCCCCACTGACAGCCTACCTTCCATTACCTTGGGCAGGGAGGGCTAAGAGTGGTATGCCAGAGGTGCAGACCTTCTGGGAATCCATTTAAATGAACTTTTATTTATGAAGGAGGACGAATTTAACTAAGTTAAAACAGTATTTTAGTAAACAATACAGAATAGATAAAATTTATAAAACTATAAAAAAGTTTTGCTCTGGGTAACTTAAGTTGGAGCTGTCGCTTCCATTTCACCCTTTCTAATCTATGCTACATGCAGCCACCAAATTAATCTTTCTAAACCATAGCAATAATCAAATTAAGTATAAAGATCACAGACTGATATTCAAACTTCTTTGCCACCTTTCCTATGTTTCTTCCAACTGGAATAACTACCTCTGATGTCCACCTCCCACAATCATGCCCACCATTCCCCCATATAATATATTTACTGATATTAAAGTCAATGAAAGGACTATCTCCCACATCTCTGCATCGCTATCGTCCTCTATCCATGAGGCACTCAAATATATATTCAAACTTAGGATAAATAAGACTTGTTAATAATTAATGGATAATTTTCATAAAATACACAGCAGGTCAAAGACCAAAAAGTGCATTTAATTAAGAATTGCTTAAAATTACGGTGAAGTTTAAATCTGTCTCCTCTGTATTGATTCTAACCTTTAATTATTAAAAAACAAGAACAATGCCCTAGCCAGTTTTGTTCAGTGGATAGAGCGTCAGTCTGTGGACTGAAAGGTCCCAGGTTCGATTCCCATCAAGGGCACATGCCCAGTTTGTGGGCTTGATCCCGAGTAGGGGGCGTGCAGGAGGCAGCTGACCAATAATTCTCTCGCATCATTGATGTTTCTATCTCTCTTTCAATCTCCCTTCCCTCTCTGAAATCAATAAAAATATATTAAAAAAAAAAACAAATTAAAAAACAAAAAAGCCAACTTTGTATAATAATGAATAAAATTTGCACATACACACTAAAGCTGGGAATAGTAGACAGAAAGTGGGTGCTGTCATTAGCTATTAAAATGGGCAGGCCTGGCTCCAGAGCTGCAGGTTGATATGGTTACCATCAAGACTAAGGTACAGTGTCAAGCTTACCAACTCAACTAACATATTCATAGTCATAAGATTTCTGGTGGCATTTCCTTTAGTAAAGCTATTTATTTAGAAAACATTAAAAACTGCTTCAGGAAAGCTGAGCTTATTTATGATATGCAACATAATGTACCTAATGTATTTAAGTATCAGGGCTATTAAGACTTCTACTATACTTACAACAAAACCACGAACTCAGCTATTCCCCAGAAGAAATCTGTTATCAAAGATAATCTCCATGGGGACTGACTCCTGCTGTCCAACACTTGTCCTACAGACAAGAATAAAGAAACTTTAGTTAGTACTACAAATCCCTGACAAAAGACACATTACATTTAATAAGTAAAGTAACAATCATAGATTCCGTTTTCAACTTGTCCATTGTTCCAAATAGTCAACAAAAAAGAGAGGTCTGTTATACACACCATTCTAAGAAAGGATTCAGAGAAGTAACTCTCTGTGATCTAGGGGCCATTCCTTTACTATGTCAATGCTTTCCGAAAATTTGTAATTTGGGAGGATGATCAAGTATTCTCTTTCTCAATCTCTTTCTCTCTCTCTCTCTCTCTCTCTCTAATTGTGGTAAAAATATACACACACAAAAATCTACCATTTGAAGTATACAATTCTATAACATCCTTCCTATATAATAAAAGCATAATATGCAAATAGACTGAACGGTGGAAGACTGGTCCCTATGACGCACACTGACCACCAGGGGGAGCACCGCTCAGCCAGAAGCCAGGCTCACAGCTGGTGAGCCCAGTGGTGGTGGCAGGAGCCTCTCCTGCCTCTGCTACAGATGGGCGGTAAGGAGTGAGGGGTCCTGGACTGCAAGAGGGATGTCCACCTACCGGCTTATGCCCAATCCCCAGGGGGAGCGGGCCCAAGCTGGCAGGCAGACATCCCCCAAGGGGTTCCGGACTGTGAGAGGGAACAGGCCAAGCTGAGGGACCCCACCCATCTCCACCGCAGTGCACAAATCTTATGCATCAGGCTTCTAGTTAAGTATACTCACGTTCCTGTATAACCATCACCACCATCCATCTCCAGAACTTTTTCATGGTCTCAACTGAATCTCTGTACCTCTTAAACACTAATCTCCATTTTTCCCTTTCCCCAGCCCCCGTGAATTTTCTGTCTTTGTGAATTTGACTACTCTAGAAACCTCATGAGGGCTCACACAATATTTGTACTTTGGTGACCAGCTATTTCACTTAGCATGTCTTCAAGGCTCACCCATGTTGCAGCATATGCCAAAATTTCCTGCCTTTTTCAAGGCTGATTAATATTCCATTGTGTGTGTGTACTACATTTTGTTGATCCATTCACCTGTTGATGGACACTTGGATTGCTATTGTGAAAATGCTGCTATGAACATGGGTGCACAAGTATCTGTTTATTCAAGTATTTTGAGGAAACAAATGGGTAAATGTAAACTCACATCACTTCAATTTTTCTAAACGTGTTCAAGGTACTCCTTTTCACTTGCAAAGCCTCTTGCCTGCACAAAAAGACTGTTTACACATACTCTTCCAGGTCTTAGATTCAGTTATTTCGATAAAATTTTTAGAAATCAAAGAAATCTGTGTGCTCTAAGTATTGAAGAGAATTTGACTTATTCATTAAAATGACTATTTTTCTGTAAAAAGCTATTCATTCTAATTATAGGCTTCAGCTTCATCTTAAACAAAAGAGGATCTATTTTTTAAACCACTTGAAATGATAAAAGCTATAACCTGAAAAGTTCAGTACTCTAGAGTTTCAGACTTGCAAATCAAGAGGTCAGAATATTCTGGAAGAGCTGCCTGTCAACTACCTCTCCTCTCCATTTCCCCAAGGGCTTCTCCATGCTTTTTACTTTCCGTCCTTCTTTGACCAGTTTATTGTCAGCTGTGTCTACCACACAGAGCTACTGAGAAAAAAGGGCCACACTTAAAGACAGAGGTTCTGCCTCTTACTGGCTCTGCACCGTTGGCTGATGTGACATTTTCCTTCTCTGAGAAAAAACATTCCAGGGCTAATCGTACAGAATTGTTTGGGAAGAAGTAACATGACAGTAAGAGAAATGTTTTAACTCTGAAGTGCTGAATAATACAGTCCTCCTAAGAACATAGATCTAATTGGAACCCACCAATTCTTCCCGAGTGGTTCTAAGGAACTTATTGCAGGCACTTGCATCATTCTAGCGATTTGCACTTTCCCTTGGTTTCTGAAGGCAGAAACCTTCCCCCCGAACATCCTTAGAGGAAAATGAGTTGCGTGAATGCAAACTGGCATTTCCCAACTATACACGTGAAATAAAAGGCCTTTGTGTTATTTAAGTGGATCAAATATGATTGTGCATGCACACTAACACACCACAAACACAAAGCATCATTCAACAATGCACATATGGAAGCAGCCAGCCTTGATCACAAAGGATAAAACACAAAGTTTGCAAGTGCCCAAACGAGGATGAAGCTTTAATTTTGGCGTGTGTCCATCAACCTACCCGTTTCAAAGAGTTTTAAGTGGGAGAAAGGAGAGAGAGATTTTGAAAAGCAGAGAGATACAAAGTGCACGCACTGACTATCATCTCGGAAGATAGATGATTCAATACAGCCATCCACGAGCTCCTTGCTAAGACTGCACCTCGGCGTTCATTTCACCTGAATCCAACAGGTGGCCCAGTGGACTGCCTCTCCTCTCCAGGCATTTTCGTTGTGATGTCACGGGATTGAAGTCTCTCTCGGATTCTCTATCCCGGGACTAACTAACTTGCTCTCGAGGGATTGGTGTTCTTCCTGTGCCTCTTGAAATCGGGCAAGAACCGCCACGTATGGCTAGTTCCTCCTCCCGGGGAACAGCCCGCCCAGAGCGTCCCTCTGCTTCTCTTGGGTCAGTTACCGAAAGGCAGGCAGTGCGCTCGGTCACGGCAGGACGCGGACGCCAGCCACCTGGGTTCGAATCCGCACTGAGCCATTAGCTACCACTGTCACCCCGGACAGTGGGATCTACCTGCGCCTCAGTCGCCATCCGTAAGGTCGGGAAAGTAAAATACTAGCTTCCTAGGGCTGCTAAAAGGACGGGATGAGATGGTAGGCCAGCGGTTCTCAACCTGTGGGTCGCGACCCCTTTGGCGGTCAAACGACCCTTTCACAGGGGTCGCCTAAGACCATCCTGCTTATCAGATATTTACATTACGATTCATAACAGTAGCAACTCTACAGTTATGAAGTAGCAGTGAAAATAATTTTATGGTTGGGTCACAACATGAGGAACTGTATTTAAAGGGCCAGAAGGTTGAGAACCACTAAGCGAACAACGCTAAGACAGTGCCTGAGGCACAGGCGCCACGCAGATGGCGTTACTGTTGCTATTTGTAGTTAAGGACACAGACGCCCGAGACTCAAGACCCCTTCGGCGAGACCCACAATAAAAATAAAAATCAGAGGCCCGACAAGGGCGCTCGTCCGGCCGGTAGACCACGGGGACCTCGGCCCTCGCCCACCCGCTCCCGGACGGAGAGCCTGCTGACGCGCCGCAGGCCGGTGACTCCGCCTCCCGGTCCGCCCGGTCCGCCCGGCCCGCGGCGCCACGTCCCGAAGAACCGCGGGAGCGCGGGCCGCGGCGAGGGTGGGGGAAACCCCGACCCGACGCTGGCCCTGCGGCCCCTGTAGCCCGGCCCCCGCTCACCGTTCGCGATGTAGACCATCTTGATCCCCGTTTCCCTCCTCCGGGCGACGGAGCGGCCTTCCCACTCCCGTCCCTCCCTCCACGCCCCGCCCCGCCCCGCCCCTGACGTCACAGGCACGCGGTGACGGAAGGGGAGGTGGACGAAGCCCATTGGCTGCGGAGGACACGCCCCCGACTGGCATTTTTGCCGCGTCACGCCGGCGACTTCCGGTAGAGGGAGCCCACCGGGAAGGGGGCGGATGTGACGTTAGGGGTTGAGTCTGTGGGCGAGATTCTCCGTCTCCTTTTGCATAGGAGCTGGCGGGGCCTCCTTGCAACGCCCGCAGAGAGAAGCTGTTTCCGGTCGTCCGAGGCCCCGCGGCGGGGAGGCAAGTTGCGCCCTGCAGCGGGAGAAGCGCTGGCACAGAAGTTCCTGCGAGTGTTTAGGATTGTGTGCGGATGGGCGGGGACCGGGCTGCAGGGAGCTTTGTTGTGAAGCCTTTGGAAGCACACACAGGCACCCGCTAGGTGTGTTGATTCCGTCCGTGGACGAAAAGGGGCCACGCACTAGCCCTGACACGCTCCGGGGAGGCCTGCATGGCGGGCCTTGGCCCCGGGCCCGAAGTAACCGCCTATGGTGGGAAATGCAAACTTACTCATTTAAAGCAAGTCCTGGCGGGCAGTCTCGTCCTGGGCTGGGCCGCTATCTTCCCTGACAAAGGTGGGTCCTTAACCTTCACTGATCCTGCTGATTTTTTTTTGCACCGAGGATAGCATTCCCTTGAAATATCAGAGTAATTCCCTTTTCCAGACCCCTCAGGACACAACCCCTGAACCACAGGAGACCGCAGAACCCCTCACTGTTACCTTGTCCCCCCATACATCTCCATGTGCTGTAAAGGTTAGCTTTTCTGTACCCAGCAATGTCAAAGAAATATGTCTCTCCATTTTACTTTTTATCCAATCCCAGAGATCCCCCTCCCCCACCCTGCCTTTGCGTTCTCCATACCCAGCAGTGGGTTTCATGTACCTCCCCTTGTGGCTTTCCTTTGATTGTAATGTGTAAACGAAGCAGTAAAGCTGCCGTTCCCCAGAGCATTTTCTCCATCTGCTGAGATTTTTGTATCCCGGCAATTGTCATCAGTTTGATTCAAATGAAATGGTAAAATTTTTCTACAGGTTTGGATGACTCTTATGTTGACGCATTTTAAACCAGTGTTTCTGTTCTTGGGTCACCAGAAGTAGCTGCTGTTTTTTTATCAGCGCTTATTGAGACAGGCCAGTAAGCCAGGACAAGAGGAATAGGGAAACTGAGACAGCTGAACAAACTAGCAGAGCAATTCACAGCAGATACAGAAGGTCACGTCCCTAGAAATAACATCGAGGCTCAGGCCCGGAAAAGCAGCATAACCAGGTGTGGCAACACCAGGACCAGCTGTGATGACCGGTGACCCCCTGCCCTGACACTGACCAGTCAGTGAAGACCAAGGCCCTGGAGGAGCACACCTAGAAAACGGATGAAAATTCTGCGAAAACCCTCTCCTGAGACCCCCCCCTAACTCTCCCACCTTCCAGAAGGAAATAAAGCCTCAAGACAAAGGACCCAGGGTGTGCTCTCCCTCGTCTTTTCCCCCCTTCTTCTTCCCCCACAGGCATGCATCTCCTAACCCCCACGGAACCCACGAGGCTTGCAACCTGGGGAATAAAGGTCAGCGGCAGCTCTGCAGGCTAGTCCCCTAAACCTGACCCCAAGGCTCTCTTTTCTCTGACTTCCCAGAGAGCTAGGGCAGCCCAGCCTAGGCTCTCCTGCTGCTTCTTCTATGTTAAGCCCTTTCTTGTTTTATGTCCCCAGCTTTAATAAATGTTCCCTCATAGTGATCTGGACTCACGTTGTGGAACTTTTCCTGCACGAAGTCAAGAACCCACACACTACCGGCCGGCCCTAGGCAGACCCGACAAGGACCAAGTCTCCTTTCCGGTAACATTGTGAGGCAACTGAAAAAAACTCTAGACCTCTGCTTATTCCTTATCGATGGCTCCTGCATGCCAGCATTGCAGAGGTGACAGGAATAAGAAACTATGTCTCAGTCATTCATTCAGTATGGACCACATGCTATGTGCTGCTGTGTGTGTACACCCCCGCACCATCCACTGGGTTACTTTCTGTTCCCTGGGTGTGGTGACCTCGTTGCTATCTCAAGGCCTTTGTACTTTGTATTTTTTTTTTTTTTCCCCCTGTGGAGTCCTCTTAATGGCTGCTTGCATTCTTTTTTTTTCCTTTTTTCCAGTTCTCATCATGTCTCATCTCAGAAAAGTTCCTAAATCACCTTATCTAAAATGTAAATGAAAATGACATTTCGGAAGTTATATTTTGCACTTATAACAATGTTGGAAAGAGGAAGGGAACTTCTGGGTGCCAAGGTTTAATTTTCTAATGAACTACGTCTAGCCTCTCTCACTCCCTTCCATGCTATATTTAGCTGCTTATTTGATGCATCTTGCCACTTGCCTGCTGACAACCTTTGTTTCTCCCCACTACCTGAGAAATAGCACCCAGACTCCTTGGTCTGGAGACTGTTGAGGGCTTCCCTGATACATTTTCTTAGGTTTCTCTCCCTGACTTCTACTTTCCTAATAGACCCCTGGTTTTCCTTCCTTGTTACTTCTGCTCATTTGTTTCCTCTTGATGGGACTTTCCCCCCCCTCCTATAACATAATCCATCCTTCAAGGTGAGGCATGTTCCTATGGTTGTAATGTACCCCGCGAATCACAGAAGGACGCCTCAAGAAGTCGAATTAAAGAGTCACATTTATTGCAATCTGGGACTATGAGGGGCCATTCCCCAAATCTCATAGTGATAAGATGGCCGCAATACCAGATTTATATAGGCAAAGATCACAAAGGTATTAATTACATCCCAGGGTTTGGAATGAGGAACCTGATTTGCAAAAAGCAGTTTACAGAAGCAAAGCAGCACGTTATCTAAATTATGGTTTGGGGTCTCCGGATCACTGAATTGACAGAAACACATTATCTAGAGCCCTCGGGTCTGGAATGAGGAACCTGGTTTGCAAAGCAGTTTACAGAAGCAGAAGCAGCATGTTATCTAAATCACAGTTTGGGTCCCCAGAACACTGAGTCAACAGGGACACGTTAACTGGAGCCCTCTGACCTTGGGATAATTGTGCTGTCCTTCCCAGGTAAAGGAAAATGTGCTTTTAGAAAGCACATTTGAAGACTAGTATGACCACAACCCATGGGATATTCACATTACAATCAATAGGGTATTTAATCGAATGGGATCATTTATATAATTCAGAAAATCAAAATAACTTTTCTATTATTTTAGCAAACAAATAAGTACAGAAACCAAACAGCAGGGTTAAAGTTAAACTATGGTTTCTACCTGAGATGATTGCTACCATACTTCACTATCAAATGAAATAATGAATGTAAACGACTTTAGAATTTGAAAAAAATATTATGTAATTAGTAGCAAGATGGGGTCGGGAACAAAGATGACATCTCCCCTCTTTCCCTAACCTTTAATGTAAAGAACTGCATGCTAGCCACCAGCCGCATATGGCTGCTGAGCAGCTGCACTGTGGCCAGTTTGATTGAGATATGCTGTATGCACAAAATACATGCTAGATTACAATGCTCTAGAATAAAAAGTAAAGTACCTCAGTTTTTATATTGATTATGTAATGAAATAATATTTGGATATTGGATTAAAATATTTTATTAAAAGTAATTTTGCTTGTTTCTTTTTACTTTTTTAACGTGACTGCCAAAAAATTTTAAATTACATATTTGGCTCAAATTTATAGTCCATATTTGGGTCACATTTATGGTTCACATTATGTTTCTTTTGGACACGGCTGATCTAGAATGAAGACATTGATGGCCTGGCACAGGAAAGGCACTCAGTAAATATTTGTTGAATAGATGAATGAATGAATGTTCTCAATAATGGATGGGTAATCGGGTTCACTATGTCCTAGACCTAGGCACTGTTCTGAGCACATTTCACTTGTTAGTTTATGTATTCCTTACAACAACAATAGTAGTTAATATTTATATAGCACTTATCCTGTACCAGGAAATGGTCTCAGTGCTTTCCATGTATTAATTCATTAAACCTCAGCCTTATGAACTAGGGTCTATGATTTTCATTTTACAGAGGAGGAAATTGAGTCATAGAGTTCTAGTGTCTTGCCCAAGGTCATATAGCTAGTAAGCAGAACTGAGATGAAGACCCAAGAGTTTGGCTCAACAGTTTGTGCTGTTAACTCCTGTGCTGGGCTGCCTCTCCACACTAAGCAGAGTTATTGAAATAGGGGATGTAATCCAGTGTGGAAGTCACAGTATAGAAGGGGAGGTGTTTTCTGGATGCTGTTTGAATGTATCGCAGTTTTCTCAAAGTTGCAAAATAGCTCCCCACATTTATTCTTTCCTGGATAAGATTCCCCTAAGCCAGTGGTCGGCAAACTGCGGCTCGCGAGCCACACGCGGCTCTTCGGCCCCTTGAGTGTGGCTCTTCCTAAGCCTTAGGAGTACCCTAATTAAGTTAATAACAATGTACCTACCTATATAGTTTAAGTTTAAAAAATTTGGCTCTCAAAAGAAATTTCAATCGTTGTACTGTTGATATTTGGCTCTGTTGACTAATGAGTTTGCCGACCACTGCTAAGCATCTGGTTAAAAAGAAACAACAGACCTAAAAATTGAGTCACTTTTGCTAAGTACCACCAAGACTTAATGCCTCACCTAATTGCAGTTTCAGCTTCTCCCAAGAGTGGACTTGTAAACCAATCAGCCTGGAATTTCCTGGTCAGCACCAATGACATAATCTGCTAGAAAAGACCCTTTGCCTTCCCCTAAGCACCCTCCTAGTTGCTAGATGGGATGCTGCCCAATTCATGAGTCCTTTAATAAAAGCAACCAGATCTTCAAATTTACTCTGTTGAGGTTTGTTCTTTCACAAAATCGATGATCTCAAAGTCAATTATCTCCCCATCTCTGGGCCAATCCCTAGGCCAGAGGGATGGGTGATTCTGAATGACAGCTACTTCTGGAGCCGGAGCCGGAGCCAGAGCCAGTCCCACT